CATTTCCCTTTGGGGTTGCTGTAGGTGATCTGGAAGTCTGGTTTTGAGACTTATTTACATGTTTTCTCATTTCAACTGGGGTGGGGGCTGTTGGCGCCTACACAGATTACCTCCTCTGAGCTGGGAGAGGTGGGACAGGGGCCGAGAGCAGCGGTAGGGATGGTGGCCCGGAAGCCCCTTCCTCTGGGCCAGGAGTGGGGGGACAGAAGGCAGCCCAAAAGCCCTTTCCTCTGGGCTGGGAGCAGCGGGATGGATGGTGGCTGGGAAGCTCCTTCCTCTGGACCAGAAGCAGTGGGACAGCAGCTCAGAAGCCCCTACCTCTGGGCCAGAAGCGGCAGGAGGGATGGTGGCCGGGAAGCCCCTTCCTCTGGACCAGGAGCAATGGGACAGCAGCTCAGAAGCCCCTACCTCTGGGCCAGAAGTGGCAGGAGGGATGGTGGCTGGGAAGCCCCTTCTTCTGGACCAGGAGCAGTGGGGCGGCAGCTCTGAAGCCCCTTCCTCTGGGCCAGGAGTGGCAGGAGGGATGATGGCCTGGAAACCCCTTCCTCTGGGCTGGGAGCGGCGGGACAGAAGGCGGTCTAAAAGGCCTTTCTTCTCTGCTATACTGAATTTTAAAAGACAGTTTTGCCAATATCTCGGCATTGGTGTAATTATTGAATAAAATTACGTTCTTCAGAAACTAAATGCTTACAGGAGGTACTACTAGTTATCCTCCAGCATCCATTCTCTTCTTCCATAATAATAAAATGCCCAAGCTGCCCATCAAGAGACTGAACAGTACTTCCCAGTCTCTCACTCAGCTTAGCTTGCCTCTGTATACAGCTAAGTTCTATGTAGATATGAGGTAAATCACATCCCACTTTCAAGAATGAATGTGTGCATTTTTGGCTCCTGTTCTTCCTTTTGCTAGCTGGCTCTCTATCTGGAAGAGAACAAGAACTACAGCAATCACCATGAAGAGGGACTCTGAAGTCACACATTAAGGATGCAGAGGTTTCCTGCCAGCTTTGTTTTTCCTTTGGTCTGTTATGTGAAAGAAAATAAACTATTTAGTCACTGTATTTTAGAATTTTTTTTAATACCATCATAATCTATTTCTTATTGTCTTTTTAAAAAACATTTATAATATGCTTCAGTTAGAAACAGTAAAAAGCAAGCAATAAACATAAAAATGATGAATCGGTCCAAATCTGCAAATGTATTTGATATATATTATAAATCTTATAGAATTTTCAACAAGCATTAGAGAGTTATGTACTATATAGGAATAATAAAAAGAAAAAGCAGAAATAAGAGAAGTTATAAAAACTCCTGTGGGAAAACTTCGATAGGTCAAAAGTTACAATATCAGTTATTTCAGAAGGGTAATTCATAATGCAATATATAACACATTTGTTCTGTTTTTGTATGTGATAGTCAACTGTAGATACAAGAAAACACAGGAGAGCCCAAGTAAACAAAGTTTATTATATTCATAAATCTTAAAAGGAGTCACACTGTATGTCACACAGGGTCAGAAGCTTAGGGTAGGTGGCAAAGACAAGAGAAAAGAACAGCTTAGGCCAAGGCCTTTACCAGAGTTCCCAGCAAAAAAAGGCAAGGCAAGGCAGGGCAAACAATTTAGGACTGGTTAGTCTCTGTGACTGCAGGGGCCTTTAACTTATAAAGGTCTCCAGTTGCATAGTAACTGGCCCTGGAATGATAAGAAAAGGAATATTGCCTCTCTGGTGTATGGGCCAGATAGAGAAGGTACAACTCTGGTGGACTGGTTAATTTGCACATCAAAGGCATGCTCCCACCTGAGTCTTTCCCTAGTAGTAAGTGGCTAATGCCAGGAGAAGCAGTCTCTCTCCAGCCAGAAAGGCTAGGATGTCCAAACATCATATTATTAAAATAAAGTTATAACTCTAGAGTTTGGCTAGCTCTGTTTGGTCTCATTCAACATATATTAAAAACAGGCCTGGCGGTTTCCACTGATCATCTAAGCTAGGTATACATCTATCTAACATGTAGAATCCAAGCCCTACTCCCAACACATAAAAATAAAATGAAACCACAAATATAAAATATATTTTTAAATAAAATATAGAAAAAAATACATAATACTTAATATAATTTTAAACTTTTAAATATGTGCCAATTATTTTAGTATTGTAATCATGTTTTTAAAACTAATTATCTGTAAGAGCAGTTTCCAAAAGTAGATAACAATATTGTCTCTTCAGGCATTTGGGAATGGAGGGATATTTTAAGTCATGTGTAGGATTTCAACTCCTATTTGGTGCCCAAGAGATTTGAAGTTTTTAGTGCCCTAGTGTGGTAAGACACACTAACCAAAAAAAAATTGTACAGTCTAAACTCCCAATAGCCTCGTTGAAAATCACTTACCTAGAATATGCATGCCATATAGTCTTTCTTACTTGATACTAAACTCAGAAAAAATTCAATACCAGGAATCAAATGTTCAAGATGTGGTTTTAAAGAAAGCACTTTAAGAATCTGAACCAATTTTTAAAATTAGAATTTGTTTATCCAGGTATACAAAGAATAATACTTATAACTCTCTAAGCAGAGAAACCATCTGGGGACTTGAAAAAGAATAGTAAAATGGCCCTCTATAGTCTACAGACAAAAATCAAAATGATTAATATGATCTGCACATATATTTAAGTATATGTACTTGTATAAAAATACAAATCTACACAACATATATAAACAGTTGATATATTTAAATAAACTTACATAAATATCACACATGTAAGAGGTGTAACTGAAAAACTACAGTGAATTTAAGTTTTATTACAGTAAAAGATATACTGACAGTGATCTCAAAATATTCTCTCTCTCTTTGAACACACTTATCCCATTTTTCTTATCACTTTAAGAAGCAGTTTTGGAAGCTCTCTTTTGTAAGTATCATTAATTGCATTGTGGCTGAATCAATTCAAAACATTAACTTTTCATTTTGACTTCTGGAAAAGAGGCAGAAGTCACACAGTGCCAGATTCAGTGAAAAGGTGGATGATACATTGTAATATTTTTTACTACCCTGACTTTCCTCTGTATTTTTTACTGAAATAAACTTCTTTAAATACACACTCCATTAGTATCATATTTATTGATTATATTGTATACACTGTATTTACAATAAAGATCCATAAATTAGACTAGATAAATAAGTATATTAAGAGTGATTATTTTCCTATTCTTGCTTATTTACAGATTATAAAAGAAAAGGGTTTCTTACTGTTTTTTCAATATGTACGGCAATATAGTTTCAGTATATGGTAAAGAGAGTCATGTTTTCCTGGTTAAAATGATTTGTGTGAACACACATATACATATATACACACATACACACTGTGTATATATGAGTAGTTATCTTGAAATAAATTATGAAATGAATTTTGAATAAAAATAGCCAATGTATATGGAGATACAATGCTTGTCTTTTTACCTTATCACCTAATACTCACAATAACCGCCACTACAAAGTTGAAGAACTGGAGGGCTTGAATGGTCAAATGGCTTATGCGTTCCATTATAGCAGGGACCATTTTCCTATTTTGCCCCTGTATAGTGGTACCTTGGTACTTGTTAATTGGTTCTGGGAGGTGTGACAATTACCAAATTGTTTGGGCTAGAAAGACTTAGCAAGTCATGAGGCAATCGACAATAAGAAGTTCTAGCTCACCTATGGAGTATCTGAACAAAATTTTCACATCGGTTGAGTACCAAATTTGATGAGTCTCAAAGCAGCTGAACACCAAGGTATGGCTGTACACAGTATTATCAGTGTTAAGTACTGGATGGACATTGCTCAAAGTGAAACAAGTAAATAATCTGGTTTCTCTTAACTACAAAGGCAAAAACAATTTAAGAATTTCAAAGTATCTGATTCAATATCCTTCAAAAAATGAAAAGTAAAAGGGCCAGGGATTTAGCTTAGCAGCACTATGCCTGCCTTGCAAGCACAAGGTCCTGAGTTTGATGGGGTGGGGGGAATCACTGTATCAAAAAATAAAATGTAAAGAATTCATCTTTTCAAATATTTGAGTCTTCACTAAATGCAAAAGTTTGCCAGCCATATCATGTTTTAGGTATTTATAAAGTATGTCACTGCCTTTTATTAACGTGCTTAATTCAAAAATTAAACATGCATTAACAACACAAAAGCAACAAGATGAAAGAAACACTGAAATTAGGGTGTTTTACAAGACTATAAATATAATCATGTAGTTGAGTGAACACTTAGATTTCTTTCCAGCAGCAGGGTTGGATCTAAGGAGAATTGTAAAGTCAAATTTTCTTTTACTTCTGAAGTCCTTACCCTTAGTGGTCAATTGACCAGAGCTGCAATATACCTCCATAATGACTCCTACATAACCATGACATCCTCCTTGTTTCTCTTCAATGGAGACAGCTACATCTCTTTTGTACTGGGAATTAAAAGACTTAGATTTTGATCCTGAGTCTGTCATTAAATTGGTGTGTGACAAGTACCTTTCTCAGAGTTTCTACTTCCTTACATGTATGTTTCTCAAAATTGCCTAAGAATAGCAACTTAATTCAAAATTCTGAATTTCTTGTTAAAAATTTACATTCCTGAGTCCCACCACAGAAATACTGGAAGTGAAGAAGAAGAAATTACAACATAAATTTTCATTAATTTTATGTAGTTTCAATATATTAACTTGACATTAAACCATTATGCGGTACTCAAGTGATTAGTTACTAATTTTTGAAATATGAAAAAGGAACATAAATACTGTCCCCAAAGAAGATATGCAAAGGCCTTGTTGGCAGCTATTGTAGCCTGCTACGTCTTTTTAAATTGCTTTTTTGCTTTCTTATATTTTCAAGAAATAAGAATGGGTTCATTCCTATACATATATATATATATAGAAATATATAAGGAAAGTAGAGAATTCCTTACAAGTGAAGATGTAAATGTACAATAAATTTCCAACATCTGTATTCTTTAAAATTACCATAACAAACAACTAAACAGTTAAATCTTTTTCATTAGACGGTATCTTCCACTTTAAAAATGTTTACCAAATAATGGAATAAAGTAGTCTTACCTAAACGCAATTCTCCAAAATTGCCACATCCAATTTTTTTTCCAACTCTGAAGTTAGGTCCAACCATTAAAACTCCTGATGACGAAGACCCAGTTCCTCGAGTGTTGTGCCCTGACCGACCACTAGGTCGTGCCATTCTATCATCTGATTTGTCCTTGTCTTTCTTTTTATTATCCATATCAAGTTTGCGGTACTCCACTTTGAATTCTTTAATCAAGACAAGCACACTGAAACAGGGTATTGTGAGAATAGGTACATCACTAGGTAACTGTACCAGTTGAGTAATGTTAACATTCAAATTGCAGTAGGTAGTCAATTAACTGGAGCGTGTTCATCCCATTCGTAAAATTTTTCTGTTTTCTTTTCAACAAAACATGTCTTCAAAATTATCTTCTCCGTGATGTGAGCTGATACTGAGAGGTAGCTAGGACATCAAGAAAAGAAAATTAGTTAACTAAAGGAACTTTAAAATATGTTTGGGAAATTTGGTAACATAACAAAAACTTAGGTAATAAATATTTGCTATTTATTGATGCCCACTGAAACGAAATCAACCATTACTCTTTATTTCTACAATTTATTACCAAAGAGATCACAGAAACAAAATAGAATGAATCAGAGCTTCAGTTACTTTTTAAAAATAAAAAAGCAAAAAGGTTCTGAGTGTTTCATAAAACAATATACATTCAACTAGACCTTCCAATTTAAAATGTGACTTTGAGACCTGAGGAAAAAAAAAAAAAAACATAAATTAAGTTCCACCTTCACCCAACCTCAATGCCCAGGAACAATTTCCTGTCTAACAAACAAAAGGTGAAGTTCAGGCAGCACAGTGATCACAGATTAGTTTGGGGGTGCTGAAGTGAGTGGAATTTATGGAACATGATACCAAAAGTGAAGGAGTTTCACAGTGGGTGGGGGGAACGAGGGAAAGTAGAATAGAAGGCTAGGCTACACGTGTGCACGGAAATATTTTGAAATTCCTAGAAGACAATGACTACAAACAGGGTTAAATGAACAATGAAGATAGTGGAGGCTGCACAATAACGTCCAGTACAGGTAAAGAAACCCCATTCCTAAGCATTCAGCTGCGACACTGTAAGTCTTAAAGACTATACACTACAATAAGGACTACTGTAAGCTGGCCTAGGTATTATAAAGCCTAACACCCAAGCCTGCATAGGGTTAAACATAGCTCTAAGTAAATTAACTCTTATCATTAAAAAACAACAAGAACTTAACATTCTCAAATTAACAAAAACACAAACTCTCAACACTGAATTTACAAAATCCACCATACAATCTAAAATTACCAAACACGCAAATAAGCAATAAACATAACTCACAGCCAGGAAACAAAATCCCAAATGATCCTGATATTGGAATTTTAAAACACATCTTTAAAACTATACTGTAATAGCTGAGAGTACAATCAAGAACTAAAGAAAAATAGGGCAAAAATAAATGTATATATTTGAAGAAATATTATCTGAAAATGTGCTAAATTTAGTGGGAAAAAACACCTACAAATTTTACTCAGCAATCCTGTAAGAAGCAAATATAAAGAAAACAAAACTTACATCATAATCAAATTGCTAAAAAATAAAATAAAATAAATCTCAAAAAGAAGAAAGAAAAACTACACATGAAATATTGGGGAAGTTAAATTCTTTTCAGAAGCAATGGAGATCCTCAAGAAAACGGAAGGGATGTTTTCAAAGAAAGGAGAAGACAAAGACATTTAACCCAGAGTAATACATACAATAATGTTATTCTTTAAAAAAATAGTGAGGGGCTGGGAGTGTAGCTCAGTGGTAGAGCACTTGCCTAGCATACATGAGCCCCTAGGTTCAATACCTAGCTCAGCCAACATGAAAAAAATCACAGTGAAACAAAGCCATTCAAAGATGAAGGATAGCTGAGAATTGGTCACCTGAAGACTACATAATAAGAAATACTTTTTAAACGGTCCATTAAGAAGAAGTAAATCAGGATACTAGAAAGAAGTATGAAACTTCAAGAACAGGATATAGGCAACAGGTAACAAATATTTATTTCTTTTAAAAATAAATTATTAAAGAAAAAAATAATTTTAGTGTTACAAATAATATGTGCAAGTAAAATATACAGCACAAACAGTGGGAAGTTGTAAATGGAATTACATTATTTTAAGATTTCTTCTAGATTTTAAGAGTCCTCACCAAAAATGTTAAAGAGTATGTAAAGTAATTCATATGATCATTAGCCCAACTTAGAATTGAGCTAATTCATAGAATTTACATTCTATGAAGTATAAATATTTCGGAACACCATGTTGTACAAAATATATAATTTTTAGCAATTAAAATAATTAA